GCCCACAGCCTTTTAAATATTTACATTTCAAGGACTAGAAGTATAGGTCCGTAGTAAAACACTTGGCCTGGCATGCCTGGGGTGGATCTCCAGTACCACAAATAATATAAATAAAGTAAAATCCCTAAATATTTACATTTTCTTCATACTGGAACTTTTTCCTTCTCCCATTCCAAATAAGGTCTTTCCAGAACTCTGTCATCTTAAATTTGTGTTACAGCATCTGTGTATCCATCTTTCCTGGTCTCATACAAATTCAGCTTCTCCCCCCTACCGTGTGTGTGTGTGTGTGTGTGTGTGTGTGTGTGTGTGTGTGTGTGTGTGTGTGTGTGTGTGTAATGTGCCTGCAAGTGCATGTGTGCTTCTGTGTGTCTGGTGGATTTAAGATTCTCTGTGTGTGTGGTTCTTTTTCTACTAGGGATCAGCCTCAAGGCCTCATGCATACTGGGCAGGCTCTCTTCACCTGAGCCCCAGCCCCAGCCCTGTCCTGTATTTTAGTCATTTCCATGCCCCATCCTTTCTGCTTGAACAACTTTTCAAGGGTTCTGTTTGGCTTTCACTGACCCTTTACCATATGTTCTTTTCCTTCCCTGCCATTCTAAACACTCGATTTCCTGGTGTTTTCTCACATTGTGTTGATACTGTGTCCGTCATACCACCTCAGTGAGCTTAGACGTTCTGTGAATTCTAAGAACAGTGTTTAGTCCATTTTATTTTTCTTTGATACTTGATTTGCTTCTGAGTACAAAAGTTAAAAAATATGTTTTTGGCTCAGAAGGTGCTTGGTAAGGTTCTTGCCTTGCAAGCAATAGGACCTGAGTTGGCTCCCCAGAACTCACTTAAAAATTGCATGTTGAGGTTTATTTGTGATCCCAGAACAGGGAGGTGGAGTCAGGAAGATCTTTGGAACTTACTGACCAGCTAATCTAGCCTAATTGGTGAGTCCGGACCAGGGATCCTGTCTGAAAGATGAAAGATGCTCCTGAGGGTAACACCTGAGGTTGTCCTCTGGCCTCCACATGCACATGCATATGCTTATACACGCACCTGTACACACATGCATGAAAAATTCATGGAGGTGAGAATCTGGGCTTGTTTGATACCTAGCAAGAAGTAAATGAAAGCCTTGTTACTGTTTTTGCATTTAGCAGCAAAGTCTACATAGGAAACAAAATTTGAGGGTTGTTTTTTTACTATCTTTTGGTGGTGCTGAGGATTTACCCCAGGGCCTCACATAAACTGGGCAAGCACTTCACAAGCACTATCCTCAGGTCTGAAGTTCTTATATAGTATAATATTTTGTATGATATTTCAGATTTTCATTATGATTTGTTAGTTTCCTTAGCTCTATAACTAATGAATGCAAAGAAGTCAGAGGCGACACCATCTTAAGTTTGAAAAATATGAAGTAAAGTGGTTCTGAATTTGAATAGAATTGCTAATGACATGTTTTAATAGTCCATAGTAGCATAGATCTTCCATGTTTTAATATGTTTTCACAAAATAAATTGTTTAACACAAATAAATGACATTAAATTTGCAGTAGTACCACTTAATCACAATGGACAGCTGTTTAAGAACTATTAATACAATTTCATTGTTCATTTATTTTTGTAATTAGAAGGAATATTGAGATAGAATACATATACTTCGGTACTAAGTGGTTGTGAAAACCATTTTCTTCTGAATAATAAACACTGCTTCCTGGAACAGGAACCCACATGTCTCATTCTTAATGTTGCTCATTTCATTCTTACTGATGTTTTGCTTTTGGCACCTTTTGCATTTGAGTGAATTTTATTAAGTAGGAATATTCTTTTGCATATATAGTCTGTTGTTGGATGTCGTTTGGGTCCAGCAGTTGTTCTAGAATCTATTCTTAGTGGGTGGGGATTCCTGTAGAATTTCAAAGTTCTCTTCAGTAGGTTTGATGGATTTTGCTTGGTACATCCTTGCTGTCCCTTTATAGCCGAGAACACTAGCAATGTTCTTGGTAGACTGAACTGTCAGAAGGACAGAGCCAGCACTTAGGAGCCAAGAAATATGGAGGATGGCCTGTTACAGCAGAGCCACAGTGGGATTTCACATACACTGGCTTTGAGTATCCCCAGAGAACCAAACTGAATTGCTAGGGCAAGACAGGAGGGACACTGGTGAAAAGAAAGAAGTCGGTTTTTGTTTTTGTTTTTTTTTTTTTTTGTTTTGTTTAAGTACTCTACAGAGATTATTACTAGCTTTTTCACATATGTAACTCTGAGATGACAGTATCAGGTTAAGGGTGTAGCTCAGTGGTAGAACGCTTGCATAGTTTAAGTGAGGTCCTAGGTACAATCCCCTATCACCACCAGTAAATAAGTCCAGTTTTTTATTTGTTTTTTGTATGTATGCAGTGTTCTGCCTGCGTGTATGCCTGCAGGCCAGCAGAGGGCACCAGATCTCATTATAGATGGTTGTGAGCCACCATGTGGTTGTTGGGAATTGAACTCAGACCTCTGGAAGAGCAGCTAGTGCTCTTAAGCCACCTCTGAGCCATCTCTCCAGCCCAAATCCAGTTTTGTAATAAGTAGAAATTTAAAATCAGAGAGGTTAAGAAACCCATCACAGTTGCTCAGCTAGTAAGTAGTTGGTTTAGATTTTGTACCCCTTATATTGCTGATTCCATAATTACATAGTTTCCTCTTGATTGCATTGTAAAAGTATGTGAAGCCACAGGGAGAAAGGACGCCACAGAAAATGGAAGTTTCATATAAGACAAATGTGCAGATCCCTTTGGGCATTCTCTGATCTGCATTTTCTGCTAGAGCTTATATAGCAGTCCACTTTGAAAAATAACAGATGAAACACTTAAAACCTGTTTTGGTTGCCCCATTTGGATATGGTGTTGGACAATTTCCTAAGACTTAAGGGGTTATCATAAAACATCATCTCTAAAATATTTGTATTTTAAAACAGCATAATTATCTCTGTAACAGATACTGCTGGAGCTAAACAATCTGCTTCAGAATTTTAAAGTTCCATGATTTGATGACTATGTCTCTCAGTAGTTGAGGAAAATTGTTTGACAGGCTTTTTTCTTTTTTTTCAATTAAATTTTTTCTGCTTCTGGGAGTAGAAGCCAGGGCTTTATACGAGTTACTCAAATGATCTGCATCCCCAGCAATTTGCACTTACTGTGTTACCCTCCCTTTCCACATACTCACACACGCCACCCTTTGTCTCATTAATGAAGGAGTAGTGTATTAAGGAGCAGAAGTTGTAGGCAAGTAGCAGGTACCTATCATGACACATTGTGGAAGCATTTGCCTCCTACTTACTGTGTACCTAAAGTCCTTTCATAGAAAATGTTCTTATATGTCACCTCTCTCCCTCCCTCCGTCCTTCATAAGAAAAATTAATGAACAAAATTTAAGTGGGAATGTTAGGTGTGACTTTTCATATCAGTGACATCTTTACTTTTAATAGACAAACATTACAAGCATCTGCTTTCTTTTGCTTTGTAGCATGCTTACGGAAAACAAATATTTTCCTACTACTGTTCTTTCTTTATAAATTATAATTATCCTTTGTTACTAGCACTCACTACTTAGTTATGATTTGTTTGCCTTGAGGTTACCCTTTGTGTGATCTTCTTTTCTCTACAGTACACACAGGACTGATAGTGATGGACTACAGGAAGCAGGAGGTCTCTGCCCTCTGTACCCAGGCTCTCTGCCCCTGCTTGCTGACTGATGGTCTGCAGCCCTGCCTTTGGTGGCTTCTTTCTCCTTATAGACCACCCTTTCTCTCATTTTGACTTGTTCTAAATGGGCAGGGGAAGTAGGGGCTTTTCTGTCGTTTTCACTGTTAAATATAGGCCCAAATTTAATTTTTATTTGTCATACTTGCATTTCAACATAATCACTTGGTAGCTGAATTAAAGATTACTTTGGCCTCCTCACTTATCCAAGCAAAATTCTTCTGTTTCCTCCTGGGTTGTGGCGGCAGCAGCAGTGTGTTTAGATGCTAGTAAGATCAAATGAATGGACTGGAAGAGGGCAAGAACTGCCACCTGGGTTTCTATGTTTGTCTTTTCTCCTCTCTTATCAACCTATCTACCCTGATTTTTACATTTTTACTGGCCTTTTTTATTTTATATGTAAAGTAAAAAACAAAAACAAAAAGTTTCCATTGTTTTACTTTGTAGTGCAAGTAGCATTTTAATGGAACCTCTCTCTGTGTCCTACAGGTATTGATTAGATTCATTGTGTTGCCCTTTGTGGAAATACGTACAGCCTTGCTGCAATGAGCTGTGGATCTGCATAGTATTTGGAGAACAGAAGGACACTTTGATAAAGACAACGGACTTCATCTTTAATGCGCTTTTCTTTTTGTTACCTAGTTGCTGATCATCTGGGCTGTGATCCTCAAACACGGTTCTTTGTCCCTCCTAATATCAAACAGTGGATCGCCTTGCTGCAAAGAGGAAATTGCACCTTTAAAGAGAAAATATCACGGGCTGCTTTCCACAATGCGGTTGCTGTAGTCATCTACAATAATAAATCCAAAGAGGAGCCGGTCACCATGACTCATCCAGGTAAACAGGAAAGGGGGCTTTAGATTTTGTCTTTCTTTGTTTAAATTATTGCTTTGGGCATTCTTCTACCTTTGGTGAAATCATAATCTTCAGTATAATTCTATGATTATATTAACTTGTAGTATTGTCACTTGTGGAAATGCGTGTGTTGTGTCCCTCCCCCCCCTTGGTTGTTTTTCTTTAATGGTGACAAAAAAGAAAATCTGTAAGGCGTCCTAAAGGCTGGCTGGGATTGAGTTCATGGTAGTTTTGTTCTTCTGCTCTTTGTGTGATGACTTCAGTTGTCCTGTGCTTGGTATGTGGTCCTTTTCCAGACTGCTGTGGGCGCTCAACGGTTACCTGTCCAGGAGGGGTTCTTTCTGTGTCATTAGAATAAGTGTTGAAGCTGCATTAGTAAAAGAGTGCATACAGCAGTGAGATACCATTTCTTCTTTTCCTCTGTGAAGTCCTTAAGGTAATTGTTTGTATAATAAGAGTTGCTTTAGTAAGCATTTACTCTGTGTATGTATGTATATGCCTACCACTTTGCTGTGGGTTCTTAAGAGCATTTGCTACTCTTGCAGAGGACCTAAGTTTGTTTACAAGCATCTGTGTCAGGTGGCTCACAACTGCCTGTAACTCCAGCTCCAAGTGATCTGACACCCTTTTTTCTTCTGGGGACACACATACACAACCAGAGTATATGCACATACATACAAATAAATAAAAATAATCAAAAACATAGATGTTTGGGGCAGTCCTTGTAGTCACATATGATATAGGTTCTACCCCAATCTTACAGAGCAGAAGACTAAAGCCAGTAGAGCCTGCAGATGAGGGTTAGACCAAAGTTTACTAATGTCTATTCAGTTTCATGAGCCTGGCTCTGAGTTTCTGGGATTTGATTTAGCTTTACATTCATGAAGATGTATACTATAATGTCTTACTTTAAAAATTGCCTTTAAAGAAAAAAAGAAAATAGCCCGAGTTTTGTTTTTGCATTTATTTGTGTGTGTGTGTGTGTGTGAGAGAGAGAGAGAGAGAAAGTGAGTGAGAGAGAGAGAGAGAGAGAGAGAGAGAGAGAGAGAGAGAGAGATGTGTCATTAAAGGAATAGATTCTCGACTTCCACAGGGTTGGTCCTGAACACGTGGATCCCAAGAGCTAGATGATCAGCCAGCCTAGCTAAAACAGCAGACTACTGGTACAGAGAGAAACTCTGACTCAAATCAGTAAGAGGGCAGTAGAGGAAGATTCTGGACACCCTGCATCCATGTACTTAGATATTCACATGCATGCACCACACACACACACACACACACACACACACACACAC